TCCAAAAAGTCGATTTCAGCAGCTAAAAAAAGCACTTTCCATTAGGATTTGACAGAAATAAAGTTCACCATTATTTTAAGCACGTTTGAAACTACAAATAGGGATAATAAAAGAGAGTACTAAAATTTCATTTCAGTGGCACTTTAAACCTGCTGATGCCACAAAGATTCCCTTGAACATTGGAATAAAACAATACATGTGTTAAGGGGCCCATCACACCTGTTCAAGGAGAGTAGTAAAAAAAAAGAATGCAAGTAAGCCTTTCTCTGCCCTAGTGAAATAAATTTGTAAGTGATGTGTGACTGCTAGTCATGTGTCATGCCCTTTGTTTTGCTTGAGACCTACATAAAACATGAAAGCTGGAGAGCAAGGGAGGGAAAAAGGAAGGGGTGAAGGAATGAAGGAAGGTAAAAAAAGAATTAAGGGAGAAAGATAGCAGAAACTAGGGAAGAATGAATTCATCAATATAAGATGGGAAATTCTCAATGCTTATATTTTCTTTCACTAAAAAAAGAAATTACGAGAGGAACAAGCTGCTAGACTGGCATTTGAGAAATCACAACGAGAGGAAATGGAGAGACGCTGGCAGTCACTCAAAGCTTATATTGATGAAGAGTCCAAGGGTGTCAGACAGTCTGAAAAGGTATCAAATGAGCAGATCTTAATTCTTCATTATAATTGTCAATTTGTTTTCTCCCTTATTCTTTCTGAGGACCAGACCTTGGGTCACTTACTGTATTTAATTAGTCTGTGTGGCTAATGTATGTCTCAAGGAAGTTCTCCAGCTTACAGATTTCCTTATTAGTTATTAAACAATTCAACTGTTTATTCAGGTGGCACAGGCAAGGACTGACCAGAGTCTTGTACGTCTTAACGAATCCATATCATTATTAGAGAGGCAGATGGAAGAAGGAAGAAAGGCAATTGAACAGGTGCTACATGCTGAAATCACATCAAGGTATATAAATCACACCTGTAGTGTGTGTTTGACATTATAAAAGAATGCAATGTTTAAATTGAGAGGTTTGGTTCACTTATGGTTAGTCCATTGGATTCTGGATTGACTGGTTCGGCTGAGCCCTACAATGCAATATTGAGAGAATAAAGGTTCATCCAGAATGTAAATGAATAGATGTGACAAGATAAAAATGAATGATTAGCAACGCCAAAATAAAAATAAATAAGCACCTTGAAAGGGAGTTGAGGTTAGCACTATATGAAAACTCCCTTGAAATAATTACAAACACAAATGAACAGACAGAGAATTTACACTAATATAATAATAAGAGAGTAACGATTGTATACAGCCATACCCTGGGGAGGATCATTGTGTTGTGACAAAACACTTCACTCTCACTGTGCCTCTCTCTCCCCAGATGTTTAGAAGGGGCGTACTGACCAGTTAAATGCTGGGGGACAGCCCTACAGTGAACTAGAATCCCATCTAGGGGGGAGAAAAAATGCTCCTTGTCTCCTCATTCTATGGAAAATGGAGAAAATTTCTAGCCAGACTGGGCCAGTAAGCTTGAACACAGACTTTACCTGATCATATACTGATACCATTCTTTGCAAATCCAACAAGACATTTGAAAAGGGAAAACAGTATTTAGTTATGTGTCCTGACTTACCTGGCAATACATTACAGCTTTTTGCTTAATGTAGTGTGACTTTCTTTACTATTTGCAGACAGTCACAAAGTGAAAAGCTATCCACTAGATGCAACCAGCTCCAGGAGAAACTGAACATGGCCATCAGCACATTACAGCAAGCCTTGGGAGGAATTAACTCACAAGTGTCAGAGAGTGTGGCTAAGGTTTGTAATGCGTTCTTGGACAAGATGGTTTTTCTCTCACAAAGCCTCCATCAACCAATTTTTATAATGGGTATGTCAGGATTGTTGGGGCAGCCCTGATGAAATTCTTGAAATATGACCAGTGTTACCAGCAAGGGATGTTGAAGTTCCAGAAGTTGCTTGTTCTTTGACCTATGTGAGATTTTATTGACCATAACATGATTTATAAAAATTAGTTCTGAGTCTTTTTGAATCACTTATAACTATAATAGTATTACTATTGTATTTCATCATAGGCATACATGTTGTAGTTTAAAAATAATTTTGGTTCAAAGTGATTTCAAACTACCTTTATTTGCATTTTTTCTTTTTCCTACATTACTGAAAGCAAAGCAATATACAGATCAAACTAGTGTACAATCATACTGACAGTACCTAAAATTCACTTTGGACCACAGCTCATACAAAGGGCTCTGTAGCGATACCTTCTGCACGTGTTACGTGCCTACTATGCTATTTAGTGAAGTCTCTTTATTGTTGCCCAGGCAAAAGAAGAGCTGATGTCATTAATGGACAAGAACAACAACTCAGGGGTCAGAGGATTAGCAGACATGGATACAAGATTGAACAAGCTAAGCAAAAGAATAGCTGAGATGGAAGAAGCCATTAGCAAACTTGAAAGGGTAAAGTCTGTTACATTCAGTTATTGCCTGAGGGGCTTTGTAAGTTTACAGGAAATCTTAGACAAAAGAAAAGAATGCTTGCCTGTGATTGTGAGTTTTTCCTTGACAATGTTGGACAGTAACAGTCCTTTGCTTTTTTTATGAGTCACCACATTGCATTTCACAATGAATATTAACTAAATTTTCACTTAAATTACAATGTTACATGTTTATTAAATTGTTATAATGATGTCACTCAAAATGTTAATCATTCAAATTGAATATATTAAATAACAACATGTGAATAAATAGATAAATAAATTAATAAAACAATAAATAAAATATGAAATCAATTATTAATAAAATCTATTGCTCTTACGGTTATTAATAAATTTATTGTTCAATCAATTTCACATGCATATCCTCACTAGTAAACAATATTATTATGCTATAAATAAAATGTTTTGAAACTAATTTGATAATTATTTTCTATAACATTCAATATAAGCAATAAAATGGACAATAATGCTTTTTCTTCTGTTATGAATAGTAAAGTGAACAATATATATTTTTAATGTTCTTTTCAGTGATACCCTTAACCTATCGTTTAAAACTGAAAACATTTTAGTAATTAAATTGAAAAGGTAGCTACCCTTAAATCCATTCCAGGTTAAGATTCCTGTTTTATAAAATTACCATTTAATAAAGATTTACCTTAATGTTAAAAGACTTGACTAATTTTGTTTCTATTTGTATTAAATGTGATATATAGATCAAGAATATGGTTCCTCTGGAAGAGGTAAAATGTGGTCTCCTAATCTATCACCTTAAAACCACACTTAATATAAAGTATTGACTTCCGCTTGAAAAAATTAATTTAGTCTCAATAATCAGACTATAAATTATTATAATTATTATCATATTATTATTAGTGATTCTTGTTATATTATAACTATTATGTACAAGACAACCATAACAGGTCGTGAAGTCACATCACATTTTTAAAGTATAGCTAAAATTAACATATACCAGGAATATCACTGTAAATTATATGTAAAATTGCTTTAAGATACATTACTAGTAAATTGTGACATGGACATATTATCAAATACCTCTCTGTGTTGGAGGAATAGATAAATATGGTAAACTGTTCTACTGTATAAACAGTTCAGGCTCCGGTCACTCAACTGATGCTGTGTTTTCTGGCAATAACGTTTTCGTTTTTTTACTGTCCGAGTCCTGGGTCTAAATGGCAATACTGAGAGGTAAATTGTGCTGGAAAAGCTTCCTGTCCAAGAGGAGTAACAATACCTGTGCTTCTAGACTACATGTACAGTTGAACCTCTGACAACAGACATCTACTCAGTAACGGTTCCAGGCACAAACACACTGCATTTTTAACCTCCCATAAGTGGTCACTTCTCTTAAGCAGACACGTTTTGTAGTTGTGAGGATGTCTGTTTATGGGAGGTTTGACTGCAGTCTCGATGCTATTAAAACAGGATAATTCTGACGAGCAGTGCTGAAGCACCACCAAATTAATATCCGAGCTTGTAACTGAAAGATGAACAAAAGTGAGTTTGTTATGTAGAAATTTTTCACATTCACTGTTTCTCCACAGCATGGAAAATCTGACCAAGAAGAAAGAGACAGGAGCTTGGGGCAGGTGGCTAACTGGCGTCAGGATACAGACCAACAGTTTAGAGAAGTCCAAGCCAAGTTGAGGCCCCTCCCAGATGAGGTGTGTTGAAGTGATAGTAAATAGCCACTTTTTCCCAGTGCCCCGAAAATATTTTTGTGCCACTGAACAGACCTGAAGTGAAAAATTCCCTTGGTCTTGTTTTTGTTTTGCACCAATTCTCCTTTGCGGTCACTGTTTCCAAAATATGTCTCTACACATTTGTGCATGAGGCCCACTATTTGGGCACTTGCACAAAGCTTCTGTTGAGTAAGAGACAACACAACTCATGACAGTAAAGGAGACTACAATTTTATTGATTCTTTTGCAGCTAATTTACAATACAAAAACACTGTAGGTTGACATTGATCCAACTTGTCTTTTTTTTTCTTTTTCTAGATTACTCATCTACAGAACCAACTTGCTGCACTCAAGGCTGACCTTGAAGATAAGGAGGAAGCGGAGAAGAGAAAGGAAGCAGAGTAAGATGACAACAATGATGAATGAATACTGCCCTTCACGATATTGATACTTAATCCATCAAATAATTCCGCTTGCACGCAATTTGTCTAAACGTGTCACATGACTGAACATGTCCCAGCTAAAACTGGAGAATATCCAAGTGATATTCCCCAATTTTCAAAAAGTCGTGTGTTGCAAAAACATCGAAGGATAATAAACAAAATAGCCCCAATTTGACTTTAAAAATATGCTCAGATATTTGTCCGTGGACATTATCGAAATTTCCTTGAGCTTTGCTCTTGGAAAACTGTTCGCTTCTTGGAACAGGTAATGTCTGCAGACAAACACCTGAGCATATTTTCATGCCAAATGGTGGCTATTTTTTAAGGTCTTGATACACCACCAACGCCAAGTTCTCCTAATTATTACTGATAGAAATGTGTGGAAAACAGGAGAATTAAAATTCTCCTTAAAGTAGTTCAGGCTTGAAGCTTTAATGGTCAGGGGCCTTTGTCTAACATTTGTAGACTTTTGATCAAGATGTAAAATTTAGAGGGAGTATTTCATATTTCTCACTTTCTCTTAATAATCTAGGGGGAAAATTACGACCTGCTTGTAATCAGCTGTAAATTACAATAATCACACTTTAAAATCATTCTTTGCAATTACTTGAGACAGCTGTTTTGTAAGTAGAACCTTGGCAAAATTGCATTTTGTTTGAGGCAAGACAAGCGTTTTCCATTTTCTAATTTTGATATTTCTTGTTCAGACGACAACCCACTCCACCTGCGAAGGAACCTGAACCAGAACCTGAACCAGAACCAGAACCAGAGGCAGACGAGCAGGAAGACAATGAAGACCTGCGAAACAAGTTGCAGAAGCTAGAGGAGGAAATGCAGCAGGTAAATCATTACAGTGTCTCATTATCATCATCATCATTATCATCTAGTCCTCTTTGTCCCATGAGGGGCATATAGGTCGTCCACTATTGCCTTCCACTTCCGTCGGTCTTGAGTTGCTCTTTTGGCTCTGCACCAACTAATGTTTGTCTCTATCAGGTCTTTCTAGATGCTTCTGCGCCACGTGATTCTAGGTCTAGTACGTTTCCGTGTGCCTTGCGGGTTCCAATCCATCACGTGGCGCGCTATGTTCCTCTCACCATGTCTTGGTGTCTCCTTACAGTTAAAGGCGCTAAACAATCGTTGCCTCTTCATATAAAGTCGGTGATCACGACGTGATTTGGTTTAGAGTCAATCTGCTTACAAAGCAGCTTATCTCAGATTTGTTCCTCAATTTGTAGAGATGCGTTGTTAAATAGGTCTCCTAGAATGCAAGCTGTTAAAGTCCATGGGGCAATTTACTGAACTTTCCCCGCAATCCAAGCCAGTTTGAATTGAAGAGACGAGCTATGAGTACAAAATGAAATCCTCTTTTATCCAGTTATTCTTTGGATACTGAAATAGTTTTTTGTTTTTGTTGACCTTCAAGCTTTGTCTTATTTTATTGCAGACCTCTTCTCAAGTAGCCAAACTAGAAAACACAGTGGAAACACTACGAACAGTTTTGACACAAAAAATACAATCAGAGGCCCAAACGGTATGTTTAGTCACTGGCTATGTGGATGATCTTGAAAGTGTGTTATTCAAAGAAGTGTTGAATGTTTCAATAATTTTAGAAAACACGATTAGATTTTCCGGCATTTTCGAAGTTCTCTTCAGTTTTTATATCGCAAAACCAAGAAGTATTGTTAACATTTGGTGAAGATTAGTCGGAGAGCCGAAAACTTTCCGACCTCTGTGGCCAATCACAAGCATCACGAGAACTCAGGAAGTCGTCACGTCGGCTTGTCGCCAATTGCCTGTGTTATGTTACTTACCAATACCTCTGCCAGGCACCACGTTCTCAGTCAGTCACTGTCTGGATTTCAACCGTACTACAGACTGGTAACCCGCGGCGTGCGCGGGAAAAGTACCTTCAGCTTTTTCGCCTCATTGGCCGAAAACATGTATCTTCTCTGTGATTGGTTAGGACGTGCTGCACGAGTTTCAGCTTTGACGCAGTCACTCTTAAACTTAGCAAAACCAAAGTGATGCAGGTTGAGACATCATTGGATAATAGCTAGCCCTATATAGCTGCTTAAGAGGATAGCAATGCGTATTCCGTTAAATATGATTACATGATTAAACAGTCACCTAATCCCGGTTGTTCAAAAACACGATTAAGCTTATGCAACATTTGTGTGATTTTGATTTAAGTATTGCTACATTTCAGTAAGTTTGCGTTTATAGTTATAGTGGCTGAGTTTTGGTTCTGATTAATGTCATACTCCACAAAACGTTGTGGTGAAAACACCTTTATTAAAGGGAGATTACAAGCTCGATCGACTTTTAATTCTGGATTAGCGCTTATAGACTTTCGAAAGACAGAGCCTTGGAGGTTAGTTTTAGTTTGGTTTAGTTCAATCTACTTGCTTTTGACTTTTTAAGTTTCACTACATATACTGATACTTGTGGAAATTGGAATGGTTAGGGTGGTCTTGAGCTTCATATAATTTGTCTGTTTTACGACAATTGGACAGGGACAAAACTGATATTTGACATATAGCATATTTTTTGTCAATTCCTCCGTCGTTTTTTTGTAGATTTTGCTTAAGAGTTACGTTGGAACACTTGTAATACATTTCTTAGGCAGGATCTTTGACGTGATTTGTCTTGTAGTAACACTGGATACGATACCGGCGACCACCTGTGTGTATTCTCCCTAGGATATTGCCGAGTCTTAGCCAATTAGTTACATCAATATTAGCCTGAGGGGAGGGGTCTTAGGGGCCGGGGCATCATCTTTTCGGCGAAAAAGTGAGGCCATAGTATTAGTGACAATGTGTTGTGTAAAAGAGAAGCCACTTCGCCTATCTGCCTAACTAACGTACGATCTTAGAATTTTTTGTTGTTGGGGCAGATACTCGTTTAATCCGGGTACCACACGTTTATTCCGAGTGGCCAAGTTCTATACACCAGTGCTCTATAACGTAGAATGGCGTAATTTCTTAGCAGTTAGTCTAGATTTGGGCGCCCATGGACCGAAATGTTTTCAGGGCAGAAACTCGTTTAATCTTGGTACCGCACCTTTTTACTCCGTATAGTCAAGTTCTGGATTCGCCAGTGCTCTTTGACGTAGGATGGCAACATTTTTTGGCATTTAGACAGACTACTGAGATTCGCTTCTTTATGTAGTAAGCTCTTTCTATTTTTCGCAGCTGCGACTCTCCTGACGAAAGTACTACAGTAATGCTTGTTATGCAAACGCTTGTGTGTTTACTAACTGACATTTGAACACTCTGCAGCGAGGTGATTCCATTACGGAGCTGAAGGAGCAGTTAGACCAGATCAAATCCAGTATGTCGCTCATTTACTGAACTGAACCTGTTTATTGTTGTGATTTGTGAATTTTCTGCCTTTTTGACGCCATTTCTGCAAATGCTAAACACAATTAAATTATCTCAAACGTCTGAACGGAAAAATGTCGTAAAATTTGATGTTAAAAGATGAATTTTTTAAAGAAATTAAAAATTGTAAAAAAGCGTTCACACGGAATGCTGCTCTTGCTAAACGTTCACACTTGAAAAACGAAGAACCCATTGATTGTTAAAAAGTCTAGGCGGATGTTAAAGCAATTTTTGCGAGTTTAATTAACAATGATCAGCCAACTTAAAAGTTTAACTAGGGAGAGATAATATTCTCCTTAATATATGACCCATCTCAACTACAAGCCTTCTTTTTTTGTTTAGGCTGCAAACTGAGTAAAGTACACAACAGTGCTTAGCCTTTAGGAACATAATAAATTAGTTTGTGGAGATGATCGGTGGAAATGATTTCTAAGCTACTATTTTCGTTTTAAATGTCGCCTTGCTTTCCTCATCTGAATACGGGGTCAACGATAACATGATTTCAGTGACACTGTTGTGTAAAAGAGAAAAAAGATCGCCTATCTGCCTAACTAACGTACAATGTCTTAATTTTTTGGTTTTCAGTTGTGGTGGTGTAAGCAAAAGTTTTTATAAACGTGAAGTGTAATGAATACGAGATCTTTTAAAACATGTGAATATTAAATTGTCAAGTAGCTACGGTATAAAAGGTTCAAAGCATGGTTAATTATGTCTGCGTCGTAAACCGCGTAATAACCTGATGAAGTTGAAAACTTCAGGTAATGGCATTTAAAAAGAACAAAACGTATAAGACTGTTATCTGACGACAATATAAATCTTACATTTTAATATATATAAATCTTACTCTGGTATATATGTTTCTATGAAATATGGTACAGTTTTTCTTTAATCCTAATTTGAGGTGATATCTGTTATTGCTATTGCAGTATTTATTTTACATTAGGCCTTGATATTAAAAAAATATATCTTTACATCTAGAGCAGTGTTATGAGGGTTTAAATACACTAAATTTTACCAGATCCCTGAAACAGAATCGAAACTTGTTTTGTTTTCTGTGCCCAATAAGTTAATGATACACAGAATTGTAGAAGTACTCGTTGCTTCAGTTACAGATATCGAACATGCGGTTAGATTTAAATTAAATATCACACGTAAATAGTAAACAGTATGAGCCAGTGATATTACGGAGATTCTGATTTAACTTTCAAGCATCGAAAAATACGTTAACTCTTTACTAACAATGATTTCCCTTGCAGGAAATAATCTTTTAAAATAAACTTTTGGTAAAAACCCAAACAATTATTTTTAATATAATAATATTTTCAGTCTTGTACCCGTGTTACTCTCATAAGAGCTTGTAAACCTTAACTGTTGAGTTGCAATTGAAATGAAATGAAATGTTAGATTACTACCTCACTGAGAAAGAACAACACTACCATAAACCTTTATTTCATCAATAACACGAGTTTAAACTGCTTGACTCTACTTTCCTAAGGTTGAATTTTGTTAACCCTTAACATTAATTCCTCACTTTGTCAATTGCTATCTTTGTGAAAGGAAAAGGAAGAGGGAGGGGACGGATGAGGGAAAGGAAGCGTTATCAGGAAGGAATTCCTCATCTTCTTTTCTTCTTTCACTCTTCTCTTTCCGGTTTCCCCCAGTCTCTTTGCCAGCCGTTAATTAGGTCGTCACCACTCCCGAGAGGCATTGTTTGACGACGTAATAAATGTCGTGAATGAGACTGCCTTCCTTCTTTCTGATTTTGTTTGGTGTCCTTTGAAGCTGTCACGCAACTTGTAGGTTGTGTGACACACGCAAGGGATACCACTGGTTCTTGAAAACATTTGAAGCAGTCAAGCTACAGAGTTGTGCATGTTTTCACGATCTCTTTCCTTTTTTCTCCTTAGCGGAATGACCAACACGAACTTGTTGAGCAGGATATCACCAAAGTGATCCGGTTTTACGTGCAAGGCCATCGTCGCGCGTTCGTTAAGTACAAACACTGGAGCGTTTCTCAAGCTCAAAACGTGGAGGGAATCGGAAGGATGCGCTTCGCTCTGCTGGAAATCAACCGGTGGGGAATCTACCAGGTGGTTAAGATGCACGCCATCAAACAAGCATGGTACCGCCTCCTAGAGAAGAAGGAAGAACGGGAAAAAGGCGTTGAAGAGGGTACTTCGGCTCCTTCGCGACCATCTGAGAGTAAAGGGACCAGTAAGAAGACTGAAGACAGCGAGGATGACGATGATGATGATGACGATGACGATGATGACAACGATGATGATGACGATGATGACGACGATGATGATGATGACGATGACGACGATGATGATGATGATGACGACGACGATGATGATGACGATGACGATGAATCGAGGCCGACGACGAAACGTGGCGCTAAAAACAAGAAAGGCCAGAATAATAAAGGGAAGAGGGGCAAAAAATAGTGGTATGGATAGTACAAAAGAATGCTGGAGAAAATAACCTAATAGTTAATTTATTACTAGAACTGAGATTTGTACATTTCATTACCAGACGTGTTTACCTCTGTACTTTTTATCATGGAACGAATAGTTTTATGAAAAGCGCAAACAGCTGGTCATTAATCTGGCCAGCCGTAGTCTGAGTGANTTAGAAAACACGATTAGATTTTCCGGCATTTTCGAAGTTCTCTTCAGTTTTTATATCGCAAAACCAAGAAGTATTGTTAACATTTGGTGAAGATTAGTCGGAGAGCCGAAAACTTTCCGACCTCTGTGGCCAATCACAAGCATCACGAGAACTCAGGAAGTCGTCACGTCGGCTTGTCGCCAATTGCCTGTGTTATGTTACTTACCAATACCTCTGCCAGGCACCACGTTCTCAGTCAGTCACTGTCTGGATTTCAACCGTACTACAGACTGGTAACCCGCGGCGTGCGCGGGAAAAGTACCTTCAGCTTTTTCGCCTCATTGGCCGAAAACATGTATCTTCTCTGTGATTGGTTAGGACGTGCTGCACGAGTTTCAGCTTTGACGCAGTCACTCTTAAACTTAGCAAAACCAAAGTGATGCAGGTTGAGACATCATTGGATAATAGCTAGCCCTATATAGCTGCTTAAGAGGATAGCAATGCGTATTCCGTTAAATATGATTACATGATTAAACAGTCACCTAATCCCGGTTGTTCAAAAACACGATTAAGCTTATGCAACATTTGTGTGATTTTGATTTAAGTATTGCTACATTTCAGTAAGTTTGCGTTTATAGTTATAGTGGCTGAGTTTTGGTTCTGATTAATGTCATACTCCACAAAACGTTGTGGTGAAAACACCTTTATTAAAGGGAGATTACAAGCTCGATCGACTTTTAATTCTGGATTAGCGCTTATAGACTTTCGAAAGACAGAGCCTTGGAGGTTAGTTTTAGTTTGGTTTAGTTCAATCTACTTGCTTTTGACTTTTTAAGTTTCACTACATATACTGATACTTGTGGAAATTGGAATGGTTAGGGTGGTCTTGAGCTTCATATAATTTGTCTGTTTTACGACAATTGGACAGGGACAAAACTGATATTTGACATATAGCATATTTTTTGTCAATTCCTCCGTCGTTTTTTTGTAGATTTTGCTTAAGAGTTACGTTGGAACACTTGTAATACATTTCTTAGGCAGGATCTTTGACGTGATTTGTCTTGTAGTAACACTGGATACGATACCGGCGACCACCTGTGTGTATTCTCCCTAGGATATTGCCGAGTCTTAGCCAATTAGTTACATCAATATTAGCCTGAGGGGAGGGGTCTTAGGGGCCGGGGCATCATCTTTTCGGCGAAAAAGTGAGGCCATAGTATTAGTGACAATGTGTTGTGTAAAAGAGAAGCCACTTCGCCTATCTGCCTAACTAACGTACGATCTTAGAATTTTTTGTTGTTGGGGCAGATACTCGTTTAATCCGGGTACCACACGTTTATTCCGAGTGGCCAAGTTCTATACACCAGTGCTCTATAACGTAGAATGGCGTAATTTCTTAGCAGTTAGTCTAGATTTGGGCGCCCATGGACCGAAATGTTTTCAGGGCAGAAACTCGTTTAATCTTGGTACCGCACCTTTTTACTCCGTATAGTCAAGTTCTGGATTCGCCAGTGCTCTTTGACGTAGGATGGCAACATTTTTTGGCATTTAGACAGACTACTGAGATTCGCTTCTTTATGTAGTAAGCTCTTTCTATTTTTCGCAGCTGCGACTCTCCTGACGAAAGTACTACAGTAATGCTTGTTATGCAAACGCTTGTGTGTTTACTAACTGACATTTGAACACTCTGCAGCGAGGTGATTCCATTACGGAGCTGAAGGAGCAGTTAGACCAGATCAAATCCAGTATGTCGCTCATTTACTGAACTGAACCTGTTTATTGTTGTGATTTGTGAATTTTCTGCCTTTTTGACGCCATTTCTGCAAATGCTAAACACAATTAAATTATCTCAAACGTCTGAACGGAAAAATGTCGTAAAATTTGATGTTAAAAGATGAATTTTTTAAAGAAATTAAAAATTGTAAAAAAGCGTTCACACGGAATGCTGCTCTTGCTAAACGTTCACACTTGAAAAACGAAGAACCCATTGATTGTTAAAAAGTCTAGGCGGATGTTAAAGCAATTTTTGCGAGTTTAATTAACAATGATCAGCCAACTTAAAAGTTTAACTAGGGAGAGATAATATTCTCCTTAATATATGACCCATCTCAACTACAAGCCTTCTTTTTTTGTTTAGGCTGCAAACTGAGTAAAGTACACAACAGTGCTTAGCCTTTAGGAACATAATAAATTAGTTTGTGGAGATGATCGGTGGAAATGATTTCTAAGCTACTATTTTCGTTTTAAATGTCGCCTTGCTTTCCTCATCTGAATACGGGGTCAACGATAACATGATTTCAGTGACACTGTTGTGTAAAAGAGAAAAAAGATCGCCTATCTGCCTAACTAACGTACAATGTCTTAATTTTTTGGTTTTCAGTTGTGGTGGTGTAAGCAAAAGTTTTTATAAACGTGAAGTGTAATGAATACGAGATCTTTTAAAACATGTGAATATTAAATTGTCAAGTAGCTACGGTATAAAAGGTTCAAAGCATGGTTAATTATGTCTGCGTCGTAAACCGCGTAATAACCTGATGAAGTTGAAAACTTCAGGTAATGGCATTTAAAAAGAACAAAACGTATAAGACTGTTATCTGACGACAATATAAATCTTACATTTTAATATATATAAATCTTACTCTGGTATATATGTTTCTATGAAATATGGTACAGTTTTTCTTTAATCCTAATTTGAGGTGATATCTGTTATTGCTATTGCAGTATTTATTTTACATTAGGCCTTGATATTAAAAAAATATATCTTTACATCTAGAGCAGTGTTATGAGGGTTTAAATACACTAAACTTTACCAGATCCCTGAAACAGAATCGAAACTTGTTTTGTTTTCTGTGCCCAATAAGTTAATGATACACAGAATTGTAGAAGTACTCGTTGCTTCAGTTACAGATATCGAACATGCGGTTAGATTTAAATTAAATATCACACGTAAATAGTAAACAGTATGAGCCAGTGATATTACGGAGATTCTGATTTAACTTTCAAGCATCGAAAAATACGTTAACTCTTTACTAACAATGATTTCCCTTGCAGGAAATAATCTTTTAAAATAAACTTTTGGTAAAAACCCAAACAATTATTTTTAATATAATAATATTTTCAGTCTTGTACCCGTGTTACTCTCATAAGAGCTTGTAAACCTTAACTGTTGAGTTGCAATTGAAATGAAATGAAATGTTAGATTACTACCTCACTGAGAAAGAACAACACTACCATAAACCTTTATTTCATCAATAACACGAGTTTAAACTGCTTGACTCTACTTTCCTAAGGTTGAATTTTGTTAACCCTTAACATTAATTCCTCACTTTGTCAATTGCTATCTTTGTGAAAGGAAAAGGAAGAGGGAGGGGACGGATGAGGGAAAGGAAGCGTTATCAGGAAGGAATTCCTCATCTTCTTTTCTTCTTTCACTCTTCTCTTTCCGGTTTCCCCCAGTCTCTTTGCCAGCCGTTAATTAGGTCGTCACCACTCCCGAGAGGCATTGTTTGACGACGTAATAAATGTCGTGAATGAGACTGCCTTCCTTCTTTCTGATTTTGTTTGGTGTCCTTTGAAGCTGTCACGCAACTTGTAGGTTGTGTGACACACGCAAGGGATACCACTGGTTCTTGAAAACATTTGAAGCAGTCAAGCTACAGAGTTGTGCATGTTTTCACGATCTCTTTCCTTTTTTCTCCTTAGCGGAATGACCAACACGAACTTGTTGAGCAGGATATCACCAAAGTGATCCGGTTTTACGTGCAAGGCCATCGTCGCGCGTTCGTTAAGTACAAACACTGGAGCGTTTCTCAAGCTCAAAACGTGGAGGGAATCGGAAGGATGCGCTTCGCTCTGCTGGAAATCAACCGGTGGGGAATCTACCAGGTGGTTAAGATGCACGCCATCAAACAAGCATGGTACCGCCTCCTAGAGAAGAAGGAAGAACGGGAAAAAGGCGTTGAAGAGGGTACTTCGGCTCCTTCGCGACCATCTGAGAGTAAAGGGACCAGTAAGAAGACTGAAGACAGCGAGGATGACGATGATGATGATGACGATGACGATGATGACAACGATGATGATGACGATGATGACGACGATGATGATGATGACGATGACGACGATGATGATGATGATGACGACGACGATGATGATGACGATGACGATGAATCGAGGCCGACGACGAAACGTGGCGCTAAAAACAAGAAAGGCCAGAATAATAAAGGGAAGAGGGGCAAAAAATAGTGGTATGGATAGTACAAAAGAATGCTGGAGAAAATAACCTAATAGTTAATTTATTACTAGAACTGAGATTTGTACATTTCATTACCAGACGTGTTTACCTCTGTACTTTTTATCATGGAACGAATAGTTTTATGAAAAGCGCAAACAGCTGGTCATTAATCTGGCCAGCCGTAGTCTGAGTGACTTGGAAAGCAGGAGGCTGCAGTGTAGGTCTATTTTGGGCGAGTGAGCGCTGAATATTCCATCCATTGTTGGCTCCGTTGTCTTGTTTTCAAAAACCAAAACCGGTTTACTGACGACAAGACTTCAACGGTCCAGCAGAATATTCAAAGCCTCTCACAGACTTCATAACATGAGTTATTTTTAGACGAAATTATAAGGTTTACGTAATATATGAGCGCTTTTGTTGCCTCATAGAATGAAACAATTAAAGAAGCTCACTTAGTGAGCATGTACAATAATAATACTCTTAGTTCTCACTAGCTGGGCTGGACCTTTGCTGGTTGTTTCTTGGCCGATTTTTACTGCCTCGGAACTATTCATGTCGTCAATATATTTATACTGTCTAAAATAAGATAGAATCCGTTGGAGGTTTTCCATATGACTTGTAAAAATAATTTAAACCAAAGTTTAGTTACATCTGATCAATCACAGCAAACGTAGACAACAGGATAAGTCAATTAGAAACCGCAGTGAAAACCTGTAACTGGCGCCAAGCGCGGAAAACTTGCGTAAGGAAAGCGCGGGAAAACGTGCGTAAGCCAAGTCATGATTGGTTTCGATTGTACTCATGATTGGTTGCAAAACAATCGTTTGCAATGGCAAGTCAGAGTTCGTTTTGCTCGTTTCTCGAAAAATAATTGAGAAAAGCTCCACTCGATTCCAGGAAATTGATGTTACCCATTTCATATCCATTCTACGATTAAGCACTCATACAAGTATAACGATTTTTTGGCCCATGTGTGAAGGGTATGTTTTGTTGAGTGAGTTCGATTGACTGTCAAAGTGAACAGAGTTTTGCTATCGTTGCCTTACTGTAAATAGGTGTATTAAATGACTTGTTTGACTTGTACGCTTGTTTTAAGTACGTTTCTACCTTTGTTTCTACCTATGATCATACTCTTTCGAGTGACTAGACGAGTGTTCAGTACTGTAATCTCACTTTCCCTTTTGGCGAAACAAAATTGCGCACTCGAAGCATTGCGCACAGGGTAAAGTTCTGTTGACGGTTAGCATGTAGACTAGCCTTCCCCCTCCCCCCCTTTCCCTCCCCCACCAAAAAAGCGTTTTCTAACGATACCAGGTCGTGTGAAATAGAATGCCCTGAACTGTTGAAGTGTCATTGCAGGCTAAAAATAACACAAATTCACTGAGTCCTTGTAGGAAAGTGAAGAAGTCGCCCTTCAACGGTTTTCTGGCTCTTAAAAACATCCTCGAGTGCGAGAACCCCTGATAGATCCTTGTTGGGTTGCCTTTGCTTCACCGAGCCTCGGCTAATTTCGTTCCTGCAGCTATTCTAGGGCGACACAAGACTCGACGGGCCATTTACAACAGTTTCTTTCAGTGGCGTATTAATGGGCGTATTAGCAACGTGGAGCGGCCTGGTCCCCGAGGGGAGGTGGGGAGTTCACTCTCCCACCCAGTCTCCACCTTCTAACTTATTTTTGGGAAATACTAGTACTTTTGGTAGCTCGAGGGAAGGTGCCTATTGGAGAAGAGGCCCGTATCATCTGCGATGAAGCGCTTTTTTTATTTTCTTGGCATTGAAAGTATCGGAAACACGCCTCTGATTCGAATAACACACGACGTCTACGGGGAACGGTTGTCAGAAAGGGGGACGGTTGGTCATGGTACAAATGGTACAACGGTTGGTACAAATACTATCAAATACTATCAACAGTGTCTGTTGTGTAGACAAGGAAGTGGAATATTGTAATTTATTTGACGAAATTATTTTATCTGTATATCCCGCTTGCCGAGCGTTCCCGGTCCCTCACCCACCCTTCCCTCATGTCTCGCTTCAAAACGCTTCCGCGCCGCTGACAAAGTTTTGTTGTGTTTGTCGGCTCAGATCATTGTTTTTCTTCAACTGTCCATTCACACATTGCTAGGATATTTCCTTAAGTGTCTGCTTTCCGATCACTTGCATATTAGTGTGTTTTCGTAGCGTTGTATGCACTTTAAGCAATATCAGGTGTTGCTTAACTCGTACAGGAACGATTGTGGTTTTTTCAGCGGATGCAACACGGCGTGAGTCCTGGAACTCGCGATATAGGTAGTGTGATTTTTTTTCGTTCACACTTCGCTTTATATAGCCCCTTCAGAGGAACACAAATGGAATAACCGAAAAATTGTTCTTCTGCCATGTCAGACTAGTGTCGTGAAAGACGATTTAGCACTTATTATTATGAGTGCGAGGATTTGACAGAATTATTGACCTCGCGTGCGTCTGAAACTTAGCATAAACATTTGTCAAGCAGCCTTGCATATATCAAATGGCAAAAGATTGACAGCGACGAAGACTATGGTGGACTCTAAGTTTCTCGTGGTGACAACGCTTTGCTATGTGGGGATTTTCGGCGTGATTTTCATCGTTTGTTGTTGCGCTTGGACGCGGCACTTGAGGAAAGAGGGTCGAGGTTATTCTTCGAGACTTCGAAACAATCCAAACAGAAGACCTCATCGGCCACAACTGCCGGAGTACCCACATGTTACACCTTCGACACCGATTTATGCACACCGAGGCAACCAGTTCGCAGAAGAGAATTTCCAAGACGGGAACACTTACTTTCCAGTCGGTCAAAGACCGCAGCATGTTCAACGAAATAACTTGTACCCAATGGCAGGTCATTACCCAATGTTTGCATACCCACGGGGAAACTTACTTCCCACAAGCGTGACAACTAATGTGGATGTAACTCTGGAAGTGAACAGTATGACATATGGAGAAACAAGTCAGGGTGGGTTTTCGGGCGAAGATTTTAGTGACGCCACAAGTTCAAGGTTTGATGGCGGTGAGAGTGCTTTTACAGAAAATTTGGAAGAAAAGTGCCACGACCTAACGCCCAGGACTATTTCGCCTTCTGCCGAGGGACAACATGACGAAAACGAAGCTGAAAGCGACGACTCTAGTCAAGTCCGTCACCTCAAAGAAGTAACCATTTAAAGTCTTTAAAAGGATTGAAATTGGTGTTGAAGAATTTTGCTCTGGGGAATGCAAAATAATATCGAACGAATGAGAAGAAACGTTATATGGTAAAATATAGAAAGTCAAGAAATCGTTGCGTCAAACAAGTTTTTTTGAAAGGGAAATAACTTTATTTCTTCCTGAATGGCCACCCACTGGTTCAAATTGGATTATACAAATGAGGAAAAAGGTAGCATTATTTTACCAAGTGGATGATCTCAGTTTATTTGTCATCGTTCATTAGCATATCCTGTTCTTTCTTGTTCCTTTGGGTTAGCGTTTTTCCCAGCTGTGCCACGGAAGCTTATTGCAGCTTTAAATGTTTGGTTAGCATAACTTGAATTGAGAATTAAAGTCTTAGTTAGTGGTAAGCTGTAAGTTATTCAAAGTTTATACTCAGTCAGACACAGACAGACAGTAACAAGCTTCTTGGTTTGATTGGATGGTAAGTTTACTATCTGTGGAGATTACTAGATGAAAATCCACAATCTATACAGATTTAATAACTCTGAAATCCATGGCTGAAAAACAGAACTGATGGAGGTCATGCAAACAAAAAAATTCTTCCTTATTAAGAATTTTTTTATCTTCACAGTTTTTTTTTGAATGATCTTTTTCTTTGGTATCTTTTTGACTTCAATTCAATTTAAAATGATAATTTAATGTAAAGTTGTCAACTGATAATGACATATAGACACCTGCTGTTAGTATCAACAGAATGACAACAGAAATCACAACAGGCCCACCAGTTGAATGAATAACTCATCACAGACGAAACAACAGATAAAAAATCTATTCTTATCTTACACACATTTTTTTTGACAAGTAATTTTAAAATTGTGCTATTTTGGAAGAGAGATTTGGAGAATAAGTAAAAAAAAATCTTTTATTATTATTAGGCAACTTTCTTTTTTCGCAGCATCAAATTTTTTAATTTAAGGAAATCTCAAAAAATGTTGAAATTTTATGCTTTGGCAATTTTGTGTTATAAGGTATAAGAGCAAAATAAGATGAAAAATTCATCATAGAAAAAGAGGCTGTTGTTAAATTATACAAATTATCAGTTTTACCACTGCCAAAATAAAATTTTCCACTATAAAATAAAATTTGATTGTTATTAAATTTAATAAAACAACTCTTCTTGTTAAAATTCCATACAGTTAATTTGTTTGCACACTTATTTTAAAACTCATTAACTCCCAAGACACAAAGTTCTAAATGGTAAATACAGGGTAAATATAACCCTGAAATTTTATTTTTCAGAATGTTAAAAAAACAAATACCACAGAAAGTACAATACTATTTCGCTAATTTTGCAAGGTCACACAAAATAATAGTTTTTTTTTTGTGAAAAAATTAGAAACACCTTATCCAATATATAAACAGTACCAGATATATGTACATTTGAATGGTCACATACCAGAGTTTCCTCCTCTGATAGAACAAATACCTAAACTTAAGTGCCAAAGATAGACTTAAGACTTAACTTTACTCTGATGTTACAATATGTAATGTTCTTGTCCAATATGCTACATTGATCTATTTTTTCATTATTTTTTGTTGTAACCCAGAAATGAAAATACAAGTTTTGTTCATAGAAAGAAACTACTATCAGTAACTGTTATTGTTATAGTTTTATTTGACTAATGGAAGATGACTGCAGTAAAGAGAAACACATAAAAATGAAATAAAATATTGCTGGCTTTCCTTGTCATGTAAAACTTTGTTTTGCCCTCCTTTTGGGGTGAGGGGGACTCCACTTCAAGAAAAATTGGGTGAGGGTGTGCAGCCCCCTTCCCAAAACCCTTACCCTATTTATGACCAAAATCTGCAATTTTCAATACCCTATTTATGGCCTGACCCTAAATCAATACCCTGTTTTAGACCTGCCTTATACTTAGTTCCCTAATCAGACTGATGTTAAAGGCATCGTGAAGGGCTTTTGTTGATCTGTCTTATCAATAATGATTAAAAAGTAACTTCTTTTAAAAAACATGCCCAATTCAAGACTAGACTGCAAACACCAGACCCTATTAATTTTATGATCAAGATGGCTAAAATCGATACCCTATTTATGACCAAAACAGCTGAAAAAGCATACCCTTTGGGGCCGCACATACCTATATAGCACATATAAGGGAGTAACACCCCCCCCCCCCCCGGGAGGAGACCTAACTGGTCAGGAGTATTCTCAAGAGTACCCCTGGGATGATGTGAAGGTCCTATCCCTATCTCCTCTGTAACAAAGTTAAATGCTATATCCCAGACTACTGGGTTGCAAAGCTGACCCCACCCAGTGAGGCATCAAACAACAGAGCATTCAGCTCTAATAAAGCAACACCTTCAAGGCACAAACTTTGCACTGTATTAGTTTGTCACTGGTATATAAAATAAGGGAAGTTGACCTGTGTACTGAAGTAAATTCTTTCACTGACTGTACGATTCTTAAAGTTTGTTCATGCTTTAATCCATTGCCTTCTTGATTCAAACCATTGATAGTCTGTGTGATTTCATTTGAATGGACATATTGCAAGATTTCATCAAGATTCAGAAAGGTCGAGCCAATACATTTGCATTACCCAACCTAATGAAATTTTACATGGTATGTCATGTTTCTATGGCTGTAACTTTTGAGTCAGAGATAATGAAAGCTACTGAGAAGAAAGTTTCAGCTGGGGCTGTTCATTTTAAAATTTTCCCATATTGCAGTGTCAGTGTGGACACTTAACTTGTGCTGACAAGTGGAAGCCATCAGCATTAACTTGAGGGCTTCTTGACACGTACAGCGTTTTGTTAGTAACAATATGACACTATTTGTTATCAGTCACTTCCTTTCCATTTTCAGGTCAGCTGCTACTAGCTCTTTCCCTGTTCTTGCTTTTGATTTTCCTGCATAGTGTTCTTGTCTTTTTTATCTTCTTGTGCATTATTATCCTTTCGTTCACTCCATAAGACATAATCAGGCCTGCAAAGGTACCGTCTTACTGTACGACAATCAAGACATGTCACTACAATGTGTCTCTCTCTCTTCCCTAAGAGAACAATAGAAGTTTGCACAAGGTCACTTTCAAATTATGACAGTTGCTCAAAGTTCACCCCAAGCTGTGTTTAACTCCTTTCAGAGCTTTGGCTCTTTCAATCCAATTGCAAATGGTCATTCCTTGCTATCTTATGACTTTGTTGATGGGTAAAATTAGAGATCCGTGTTGACAGGTTTCAAAGAAGTGGATGATAGTGTGTAAAGCAAAATTAATGCATGGCTGTGTTGGTTACAAATTATAATGGAATGTCAGTTCTTCAAATTAATTTCATCCAAGATCCCAAGACAGTATTAACAAGGGCCCCAGTGATAAGGGTTTCATTAAGGCTCTGGCACCAGGCAAATCATCCAGCTGTAAGGATGATTTTGCTTGCCTGGTTTGACCATCTAGAGGAATGTTTTTCTTATAAAGAATTTCTGTTTCAAAAGTTTTCCCACCTGAGAAAACCAGTTGCCCCCCTGCTGAAAACATTAAATAAATGAAACCCCCGTGGAGGGAAAGAGAAGACATAGTAGACCAAGTGAGAGAGGAGAACCGCAGAGAAGGAACGCAGAGCCTTGGATTTTACATGGTGGAGCCAAGGAAGCAGTTGTTGCATGAGAGTAGCATGGTGAAGAAGGACATCTGAAGCAAAAATATTGAATTCCAGGGGGTCATGGCAAAAATGTGAAAAGTGAAGTTCTTCAAAGCTGTTCATTCTCAGAAACTTTCCCAGCTGGTCAACATTGGCACTTCAAAGCCAGTTTTATTAGTTTACTACATCATGCCCGTTCTACCTTCCTTTCACTACATTTTTCAATTCTGCTCTATTCCAGTGAGGTAGAGAAATAAAAGAATAATAAAATAAAATACAAAAAAAATACTATGAAGGCTAAGGGTGATATGAGCTAGACAGTTTGTTAGCCAGGATACTTGTAATGTCATTACTTACTTCTTACTCTGACTCTAGCAGTGACTCCTGGTATAAGCAGAGCATGACAGTGTTTGCAAGTGGTTCTTTTAATGCTTGGGTCCCTGAAAAAAGAAACAAGATTAAGTAGCATCTACAAAACAATCCTTATTTATCACCATGTCCTGTGATTAAGTAACATTCTGATTTTTCTTATTATTTAATCATGTGAGGCCAAAGGGCCAAAAATGTGAGTGTAAGGCCAAAGGTGTGAGGGTTATGATTTTGCAATCCCAAGAGCCTACTTGCTTACTTGCACAAGAAAATTGTTCACACAACCATCATGAATACTCCACTATCACCGACCCTCTTCTCCTGCCCCCCCAAAAGAAATATGCACCCCACCCATACCTTTATCAGGCTGTGCAAGTCACATTTCCCTAGTATATAAGTTGATCCATTAAATGAATTAATTTATAGAACTTTCATGGATGTTAATAGTCTTGCTACTTACAATTTAAATACAACTTTCTCTGCTACTGTTTTCATCGTGCTTGCATAAAATCTTGACATTTCGATATTTTCTGGATTGATAGCTAGAACTGCATGAGATGCCTGTATCAAAGATTAATAATACAAGATAAGATCTGAATCGATTTAAAATTCTTACTTGAGCTCAAAATTATCACAAAACATCTTTTATTCTTTTTACCTACCTGGTGCAAGAAATTTAGCTTTTGACATGATTCTTGATTCTCTGGAGTGGCCGATTTGTTCTTGCGACCCATAGTGACAATATTAGGGCAAAATCATAGGGTAATATTAGAAGTTTTCAATCGACAATGTACTAAAGTTTCTGACGAAATTATTGCAAATAACTAAACAATCTTCTTTGCTAACACGAACCGAAGGGACTGGGCCTGCTATATATATAACCGCTGACATATCGGGGTCTCAAAAATGGAAACGTGCGTGAAGAAGTGGCCGCTGCCGGTTTTCACAAAATGAGAGAGATACGATGAGTTGTTGTCTTCTATTATGCCGTAAGTGTTGATTCTACCATGAGATGTAGCAGCATAAACGATCCATTAAGGCATTATGTTATTTTTAGGGGCCTGTTCTTGGAACCGAGCTGCGGACATTTTCCGGCATGTGTCCGCGTCTAACATCTCTAACAAACCATGCCGTCGTTGGTTGCATCAATATAAAGTTAGATTAGCGAGAGTGACAACTAAAGAACGTCTTTTGAGTGATTCTTATGGCCAGCGAAAAAGTACCAGCGCTTGTCAAAGCAAGGTGGGTTTGTGTTCGTTAAAGTTACGTTAATCGTTTGCAACTTAATATAATCAAGCTTATAAAGGTCTGATTAAAGCTTATGTAAGACTGAGCTCGATATGGACTCGGTCTTTGGTCTTATATTTCAATAATTAGCCTGCATTGCTGNATGCAAATTTGTTTGACTGGCTGTCTCCTCTCGTGTACCACTTTTGGGTTAGTACATGCTCAAAGGGTGTACAACCCATTGCACAACCTTCATCCCTAGTATCAGGAACCATACACAAGCCAATTGGTTGAATACTGTACTGCTTTGACAATAACCTCTTTATGCCAAAACAAATTGTTTGCTGTTTAAGTCTGGGATTTATAGTAGTTTTGAAGATTCAAAGGCTACAACTGAAGTTATTTTCTCTTTGTTACCCACATAATTTACAGATTTCCAACTAGTAGCTTGTGTCTGTGTCTGAGAATTGCTCAAAGTTCTTAGTGGTTACCAGTTATGTTCTTTTCTTTCAAATTGTACTGTCCATGAATTCTTGTTTCTAGTGGTTAGAGGTGCCTTTTGACTCTCAGATGAGTCGTACTCAAAACCGTGTTCTTGTCAGGGCTCGTCTCAGGTAGGCAGTATTATATGTAACTCACTTACATGTAGGATGTGTAATTTAACTTAATTCTTGGTTTCTCTTATTTAGTGCCTAAGTAGATAACGAGTTCGAGTTTCAGTTGTTCGATAGTTGATGCAGGTGAACTATTTATCACACATAGAAACTGAGACCGAATATTCTAATTGTTTTTAGTACAAATCTAGTTGTTCAAAACTTTATCTAAATCCACTTCACAGACACTTTGAAATTGCTTGCAAAGAAGTGGCTGCCATTTTGTTGACAACCATGCAATGCTTAGTTTCTCATTATCTACAACAGAATAGATAGTGAGTAGCGTAGCCAATAAGAGGATTACATTTGCAATAGAATGCTGGTTACTTGAAGCATTTTGAACTTCAGGTTCCCTTTAACAGTTAACTTAAACCTATCTCTATTCCTGGTTGGAGAGAGGGACTGTGAGAGTCAAGTATGTTGCCTAAGAATACAAGGCAGTTACTCAGGCATGCACTTGGGGGTTGTTTATTAATTTTGTAATGTGACAGAAAGGATTTGTGTAGAAAATTGATACAAATGCTGTCATAAAACCCTTAAAACATTGCCCCAATTTGGTCATACATTTTTTTTAGCCATTTATTAATTTAAGATATTGTCTTTGTTTTTTTTCCTAGCCCTCTTCATGTAGTATTGTTTGGTGCAACAACTGGTGTATTAGGCCTGTCTGTGCTGTTTACTCAAGTGAATGGATTAACTGCAGCTCTTGGTTAGTACCATGCTTTATACAAGTAACAGCTGTCAACATTAAACTCTCCAACTAAGCCATATTGGTTAACACATTGTGCTAGAATCATTTTAGTTTGACAAGCTCTGCCTTTACTCAACTCTTGCATAATTTCACCTCATACTTGTGCTGAAACCCCATGTCATTATCCTTCAGTGGCATGATTTTGATTCAACCATCTTGTTACATGTGAGCTGAACTTGTTTCATACATGTTCTTGTTAATTTTTGATACCAACTTAGTGAGGTTCACTTTAAATTCAAATTTTACATTACGGTCTGTGACTAGTTGCTTACCATTAGTGTTGATCAAGCCCTGATTTTGTATTGAATTTGTTACTTGCAGTTTTGGGTTTATTTTAGACTCAGCTAAACTGAAGCATTTGAACGGCATTGCATTTCAGGTGCTGCCACTCTCCTTCTTTATACTTCTGTCTACACTCCTATGAAACGTCTAAGTATATTGAACACATGGGTGGGGTCAGTAGTTGGAGCACTGCCCCCCTTGATGGGCTGGGCTGCCTGTACTGGTGGATTGGATGCTGGTGGACTGGTACTGGCAGGGATTTTGTACTCTTGGCAATTTCCACATTTTAATGCACTCAGTTGGAACCTCAGGGCTGATTATTCAAGAGGTAATTAATGACATTATTTCCCATAATAAAGAGTCTAACTTTATCTGGATTTTGGTACTTGTAGATAAGTAACGATGTCTTTATTGTAACTGTGTACAGTCATAGACTGGTTATACAGTTGTGAGGGCCCAAGCTGGGCACATTGTGGGTGTATAATGGAGTTGTCTGCATTACAGCGGTAGAGATTGTTAGTATCAATATAATTATCCTGGTTTGTCTAGGACTAAGTGAACTACTCAGAATATTCACATAAGGTGTCCATAAGGAGAGGTTTGACTGTTTTGGAGAGGTTTAGCACTCTCTATTATTAAACATAGATCTCCACCATAGACTGTGAGAAGCATGGCCCCATTCAAGCATTTGTATGCCCCCTTCCTACATGTACCTTCATCAATCTATAGTAGGCTTTTGGTATAAAAGCAAAATCAATATCACTTACTTGTGTCTTCTGTACCCCTGCAGCTGGTTATCGAATGATGTGTGTCACAAATGCACCACTCTGTCGACGGGTAACACTCAGGCACTGTTTGGCACTGGTTGGTCTAACAACACTCTTGCCAGTATGCGATGTTACAACATGGTGGCTAGCTTTGACCTCTTTGCCACTTAATGTATGGCACACTTACTTGGGTTATCAATTTTATAAGGACTCAGACTCAAGATCCGCGCGGAAACTGTTTCGTTTTAGCCTGCTCTATCTACCGATTCTCATGCTCATGATAATGTTTCATAAGAAACCAAGAACAGAACAAGAGGAGACTGTGGTTCAAGTGACATGAGCCACAGTTGCTCTTAGCAAACCTATTTCATGAAGTTTCAAGCGGTGAATTTGGTGAATGATAGTCTGGATATTTGGCCATGGTTCTCGATTGGTTGGTTAACTTGGTAATATGGAAAGCAATAACTTGTGTTCTGCCCAGAAGCATTGCAGTGTGAACACCAGTTAACATTGACGCCATGAACATCATGTGTGAGAAACTTTAGGTCTTGCATGTGTTGTTAGACTTCAAGAACACTGCTTACTTGATATCAGAGAGAGCGGTTTTCAGTTGAATGTCATAAAACCGAAACCAAACCAATTAATTACCAATAGCCCAATTTTGATATATTAAAATTCTGCCTAGAATGATAGACCTTGGTATGAGGCTGCAGGGAATAAACCCCACAAACTCTGTATTTATTCCCTGGAGCCTTGTGCTGAGGTCTATTGTTTTAGGCTGAATTTTAATGTATCAAAATTCATCTGTTAGACTACCCACCTAAATCTAAAACCAAAGTAATAACGAAACCGGTGAAAGTAATTGCCTGATTACTATTGACACTCAATTTAAAACTGCTCTAATGCCCAAAGAACCTAAATAACATCTTCATATTGTAACCTTCGAGTTTGCAAATTTAAACAACGCTCATAATTTACATTGCTGTTGTAATTGATTATTCATACACTACAGTAACTGTATTTTATTGCATAGAAAAAAAATGGGAAGATTGGCATTTTGAAAGGCAGAATTTTACATGTTAAATACTGGTTATTAATATATTGCCATCTTCTTACATTGTAATAAATTTTAAGATGTAAAGTTGAACATCTGGAAACTCTTGAGAGTTTATTTATGGAGTGATTGTTTGAATTCCACACAATGAAGATTGAAAATGTTACAAAATGTTAAAAATTCATTATTTTATTTCACATATTTGTGGACATTACTCAGTCTGTGAATGTACATATTTACAAAACAGATAGTCATATTAACTCTGTTTAACCTTAATATTGATTTTAGGAAATGCTTTTATACATGGACATTAGAGCGATCTGTTTATAATTCACTGTATTTTTTCATCAATGTCGTCATCATCATCATCATCATCATATAGTAATACTTCTTTCTAGTGCCACAGGGAGTATACAAAAGATTTCTTTAAGTATGATGAAAGCAAACAAAGGAATCAAAAATATAGTTTACCTATTCCTTCCTTTACATACTTTCATCCAACTTACCTCTTTTGTGTCCTCCCTGTGGTTGTACTATAAAATTTGTGTGAACACATGTATAGAGAATTTGCAACTTGACATCAGGGCTATTTAGTGTCTATATGGCATACAGGCGAAACAATACTGCGGATTTGCTCAGAAAGGCATTTGTTCCTCAATACGGTACGGGTACTTTTAATTAAGCCTGTTCATACATCTGTACATCTTTTCAATATCCCATGTCTCTATGGTTACCAGAACTCTTAAGTTGATATTGCCCCAAAGTGCAAGAATGGGAACAGCAAAGCTAGTCTTTGTAGTAACAGTTCCTGTACCTGTTCCTGAGTTTTCTGCATTGTGGCGGCACAAACATTGGGGTAAGCGCTGTTTCCTTCCTACAGTAGGATGGTCTTGGGGCAGGCTTCCATAGAAGATTTTGAAAAATGAAACTGTTTGAAAATACACAAGAAATACTCACTTGCAATATTACTATTGTTTCATTTGTTGGCATGAATCTCACACTTGGCACCTGAGGTTTGAAACCTCCACTTTGGAGTAAGTCCTTCATTTTGAATTCTTCTGGGCCGGGTTGTTCAAAAGCCGGTTAACGTTAACCCAGGATTAAAAGTTAACCGAAGTATTAATTTTTCTTGGATATAAAAATTAATGTTTTTCACTGCATATGATTTTTATAGTTTGAGATTATTCAAATTCAGCACTAAAGGACAAGCAATATAAACAGAAAACATCACCGAAGAGTTACAAAACTCAAGTCAAAATTCTCGTTAATCCTGAAATAGCAATCGGGCTTTGAACAACCGAGCCCCTGAAGTTTAACAAGTATTTCACCTAAACTTTGAAAAACAAAGTGTACTAGATTTTTCTTGTCTCATCGAGTTATAGAAAACGCTTCTTTTGTATAACTACTTAAAGTCTACAAGTTTACATATCATAAAGTGATTGGCTAAAGTCATCTACACTATTGGCCAGTTTTAAAAAGTCCTCACAAAATCTTATGGAAATCAAATTTTTGAGCTAATTTTATTGCTATTTAAAAGCTAGTAGACGATAATTATTAAGATAAAGAGTAATTTCGTGCATCTTATGGAATTCAAAATTTTAAAATCTTCCTTTCAGTCAGTCACTGCCGACTCTTAAGCCACACAAATGTCATAAGTGGAATTGGTAATAAAATCTTAGATTTTTGACTTTTGCCTGTAGTGTACTGCCAAGCAAATATACTGCATTTGACTGAACCAAGACAATTGTCTTGTAAAAACACCATCTCTATCACTTGCAACCATCAAATGGCTGTTTTCTAACAGTGATCAACAGGTTCTTATTTTCAACTAAACTAGTCCAAGAAGAAGATGTTGTGAAATTGTGTGATACCCAGTCTTTTCACTTCCTCTGCAAGATAAAATGAAACAGAAAACCAAAATTATCAAAAGACAAATATCCCAATCTACTATCCTATAGGATAAAAGAAAACAAAACCCTTTGCCTCTAAGATGCTGAGTTTCCTTGCATCTAAAAGATCTGAGTGCCTTAAAAGGAAAACTCCACTTAAACTTGTAAATTAAAGCTAAAGACCTAAACCATCTCTTATTAGGTGATCATGACTGGTAACAGAAAGTGAAATTAATGTATCTAATGTGAAACCACTTACCATCAATCTCTATAAGGTTTGCATTCTTTTGGTTCAAGATCACAAATAGTTCTCGCTGATCAGATTT